TCTCTCTCTCTCCCTTTCTCTCTCTCTCTCTCTCTCTCTCTCTCTCTCTCCTTCTCTTCGTGTTCTCGCCAATATAGGTTAGAGTGTTGTAGTGAGGATTGTTGTAATGAGTGACAAAGTGTTGTTGTGAGTTTTCGGCTATAAGTTCCTTTAAAACCAATTGATTATTACTTGCAATAAAAGAATTGTTGATGTTGTCATATTTTAGTGTTTTGTTCATATATATATATATATATATATATATATATATATATATATATATATATATATATATATAGAGAGAGAGAGAGAGAGAGAGAGTGAGAGAGAGAGAAAAAAAAGAAAGAGAATAAAGAGAAGAAGAAAGATCAATTCAGATTAAAAAATGTTGAGAATGAGAGAATGAATTTGGGCCACATATTTCATCATCTGTCGCTTAAGAGCTTCAGCGTACCATACTGGCACGACAAAAGATGTAATACTCATAAGTGAATATAAAATTAAGTATATTCATATATGAATATTGTGTGGTGCATTCACTTATGACTATTCATATATTGTCTATTCATAAGCGATTATTCATATATGATTATGGTGGTGGGTGGCAAAGGTGGTGGTGGTGGAGTTGGCGGTGATAAAAGTGAAATCAGGTTATATCCAAGCAAGGTCATTATGTAATGGTATGATATATGTATAAGTTAATTATAACACAAAATAATTTTGAATATTTAATATGAAAGAATTTTTTATAAGTTTCATCATGATGTATTACATTACATGATGAATGAAATGACGGAAAGAAAAGGAGTGTCATGTAAGCATAAACATGTATGAAAAGACTATATTATGTGTCGCCTGGGTGCATCTAAAGTTATGAGTTTCAATAAAATGGGAATAAAAAGACATTAAGTAGTTTTCGACAATGGTGAAACCTTGGACTAGATGATGCTATGATGAGTTGATATATTCTTCCCATTCTAGTTACCGATCATGGTACCACAATATTGTATGAGATGCTAACAGTAAAATGCCTGCCTTGGCTAGTCATAAGATGTGTTTATATTTGAGGTGGTGGAGGTGGTGGTCGGGGAACATGGCTGGGAGGATTCACAAAATGTTGAGAGAAAGGGGATGATGAGCTATAGGTGGAATTGGTTGTTGGGCTAGAGGTGTGGATCGATGTTGGGCTTTGGGGCAGGCTTGGATGGGGGTTTATAGTGGGGTTTTCTGAGCACAATTTGCATGGGGAGGATTTTTCGGTATCTGTTGTTTGTATGGGAGTGATAAGGGAGCTAGGTTTAGACATGAATGTATGTGAATGGTCAAGTAATGTGCTAATTTCAAGATTGGTGAGAGAGCTAGGCTTTGTATTATCTATAAATTGGAAGACATTTTCATCTGCATGTCGGGAAACATATACCCACGATGTGATATGATCAAGGCACCGGTAGCCTTTATACATAGGACTATATCCAATGAAAACACATGGTATAATACGTAGTTCAAGTTTATTTTCCGAGTAGTCATGTAATTAAGGAAAGACCCGAGACCCAAATGCCCTAAATGTTGAGTAATTTGGCTGTGTGGAATGCACTATCTCAAATGGAGATTTCCCATCAAGAACTTTAGAGGGTAGTCTGTTAATTATGTAGACGGTCGATGAAAAGGCATCAATCCAATTAGTGGAGGGCAGGTAGGCATTAGACATCATTGCCAAACCCGTTTCGACTATGTGACAATGTTTTCTTTCAGCTCGTCCATTTTGTTATGGGAACGAGGACCGATGTAGGGGTGCCATTTTCTTCAAAAATTTGACTTGAATCGGTTATTAAAAAATTCAGTACCCCTATCACTTAGAAATTTTTTGAATTTCCTAGAAATTTGGGTTTGTACCATTTGTATGAAATCCACTAATACACGTGAAAATTCAGTTTTTGCCTTTAGTGGGTACAACCAAGAAAAGCGAGAATGGTCATCAATGAATATGACATAATATATATAGTTGTCATTTGTAGCAACATGAGAGGGTCCCCCATAGATCACAATGAACAAGATATAATACATTTAAGGCACAAGTTTTATTTATGTCAAATGGTAAATGTTAACTTTTAGCAAGTTGACGCGGGGAACATAAGCCCAGTTTAGGTAAAAGTGAATTCACGACAAGATAACCAAGTTTTTGTAAAGAGGTAATAATATCAAAATTAGCATGACCCAAACGAGAATGTCATACTTCAAAAGATGCTTTGGGGCTTAAATGAGACACAAATGCTTGATGACTTGGGTTGAGGAAATAAAGATCGTTCTCACATCTTCCTCTGGCTAGGACCTGTTTGGTGTGACGATCCTAAATGGTAAAGGAAGGATAAGAGACTAATACATCTACCAAGTTATCTTTAGTGACTTTACTAATAGATAAAAGGTTGTGAGTGAGATTTGGTACAACCAAGATGTCATTCAAACATATATGGTTATTGAGGATTGAGTGCTCTTTGTGAGTGACATGGAGGGACTTACCATTAACAAATGAAACAAATTCGTTACCTATGGTAAAGGAAGCCTCGGAGACCGATTGAGTCGTGGAAGTCATGTGATACGTTGCACCTGAGTTAATGAACCAATCGGGGATTGGAGACGTGTCATGTCATTGAGATAAGAAAGCAGAGGCTAATTCATTATCCTTCACATCGATTCCAGGAGAAAACTTCTTTAGATAGGGACACACATTAGCATAGTGCCCATTGGTGCGGTACAGTTGGCAGTGGGGACTGTGTCTACCACCCCGATTGCCACGACCACCTCGAGACATACCATTATTACCACCATGATAAGGTCCACGACCCCCACGATTTCCAGAAGCAGTCACAGGTGGTCCGGAATTAGCATTGAAGGCGACTGTTGTGTGGCGGAGTGATGAAGGGCTCTGATGAATAACTCGTGGTTTTCATCCCAAGCGAGTAAGTCGGTGAAAGACGGGGCAGGCCTGGTTGAACGAATGGTAGTGTAAAATGTATTAAAGACTTGTCCAAGGTCGCATAAGAACCAATGCAATTGATCATCTTCATCAACAGGAAACTTTATCGCAGCCAACTAATCACACAGAGCTTTGAAGGCACGACCGAATTCTACAACAGATTTGGTTCCCTTCTGAATCAAATGAAGCTAGTCAGGGAGGTTATGAAACCTTTCAATTGATGAGTTACCATAAGCTTTTTTTATGGCAACCCATATTTGTCTAGCGGTAGTCATACTTACGATAACGGTGATAGCTTCTTCCGATAAAGAAGCTTGCAGATTGATGATGCTTCGCTGATTGACACTGACCCAGGACGTGAATTCAGGGTTCACGGCTACTTTGTTTTCAATAGTGATGGTGCTGGGTGGGCACGGGAGGGATCCATCGACTCGCGAGATCAAGTTTTGATAGGTTAAGATAGGGTTCATCTGATTCTTCTACAACAAGTAATTTGTGGAATTGAGTTTAACTGTTATCATGTGCAACAAATTATTCAACGGGATTAAAGCATCAGAGATGTTGTCACGACCACCTCGAGACCCACCATTGTTACCACCATGATAAGGTCCACGACCCCCAAGATTTCCAGAACCAATCTCTGGTGGTCCAAAATTAGCATTGAAGGCGACTGGGGGTGTGGTGGAGTGATGAAGGGCCTGGTGAATAACTCATGGCTTTCAACCCAAGCAAGTAAGTCAGCGAAGGATGGGGCAGGCCTGGTTGAACGAATAGTAGTGGAAAAGGTCTCAAAGACGTGTCCGAGGCCGCATAAGAACTAGTGCAATTGATCATCTTCATCAATGGGAAACTTTATCGCAACCAATTGATCACACAGGGATATAAAGGCACGACCGAATTTTACAACAGATTTGGTTCCCTTCTGAATCAAATGAAGCTAGTCAGGGAGTTTATGAACCTTTTCAATTGATGAGTTACCATAAGCTATTTCGAGGGCAACCATATTTGTCTAGCGGTAGTCATACCCACGATAATTGTGATAGCTTCTTTCGATAAAGAAGCTTGTAGAATGATGATGCTTCACTGATCGGCACTGACCCAAGACGTGAATTCAGGGTTCACGACTACTTTGTTTTCAATAGTGATGGTGTTGGGTGGGCACGGGAGGGATCCATCGACTTGCGAGATCAAGTTTTGATAGGTTAAGATAGGGTTCATCTGATTCTTCTACAACAAGTAATTTGTGGAATTTAGTTTAACTGTTATCATGTGCAGCAAATTATTCAACGGGATTGAAGCATCAGAGGTGTTGGCATGACCACCTCGAGACCCACCATTGTTTCACCATGATAAGGTCCACGATCCCCATGATTTCCAGAAGCAGTCACCGATGGTCCAGAATTATTGAACCGGTTCAACTGGTTTAACCGGTTTTTTTCTAAAAACCGGCCGGTTCAATCCGGTTTAGAAATCAATGTAAAACAAGTGATAATTGAACCGCTTCCTCCCCCGGTTCGACAGGGCCGATCCAAATGTATATGAGGCCCGGGGCGAAAAAAAAAAAAAAAAAAAAAAAAAAAAAAAAAAAAAAAAACCTTAAAGATAAATATAATAAAGATTCAAAAAATGTCATTTATTATTGACTATAAACACATTCAATTAACAATACGAAGCAAACCAAATTGTTTATCTTTTAAGTTAGTTTGCATTTGAACCAACTTTAGGTCCTAAAAATCATTTTGGTAATAATTTTTTTTATATATATACATTATATAGCCTATAAATTTTGGGCCACTAGGAGTCATGGTCCCTGAGCGGTCGCCCAGGTTGCCTACCATCTGGACCGGCCCTGCGGTTCGACCGATCAGGTTGCCCACCATTTGGACCGGTCCTGCGGTTCGACCGGCCGGTTCAAACCGGTTTTTAAAAGATTTTCTTCTTCAACAAGAGTAGTTTGTAAAAATTATTGAATTACAGTTTTCCAGTTATTTTTAATAGTTTGTTAATTTATTAAAGTTCGTTTTCAAAACGAAACGAGATTCGTTCCGGGTTGAACGTTGGTGTGAAAAGTCAACAAGATGATATTCCATTTATGACTTTATTATGTGCTTGAGTAAACCAGGAACCCTATCCAAGCCACGATGAAACAAGCATTTCTGATCTTGATTTCATTGTTGTTCTTGTTGTTGAGTAGTAGCAATCGGTTTGTGTTGCTAGCAGTAAAGCCAGAGTTCCATCATGATCAGTGCAAAGCTTGGCTTGTCCAATCCATTCCCACGGACATGCCTCAGCTCTCTCTCGTTCCCCGGCGTTCTCTCCACCGGTAAGTCGTCTAGCATGCCTTGTTTTCATCAGGTATATTCGTTGATTACGCACGTATCAATTCGATTTCACTTCTGATTTTGAAATCGGAAAATTAGCATTTCTGGTATCAAATTTGAAATACGGATTGTTCTACTGGTATGTAATCGTCAGATTGTTCGTAATAATTGTCATTCGAAATCTGTAACTATCGCATCGCTTTACCACTGAGAATCCGTTATGTTTCCTCATATTCGTCATTTATCCTCTCACCAGTAAATTCAATTTGTTTAACTTAGCACATTTATGATTTAATGCATATGATCAGCCGACGTGTTTAGATGGTTAGCTGGAAACTCTTCCGACAAATTGGACATAATGGCACAGTACTGGCAACTAATCGCACAACCTGATGATCCTCGTTCTGGAGATTATGGATACTCAGCAGAAAGCATGAAGAATTTTGGTTCTGGTGATGGCTCAAGTGTATATAAATCCATTGAAGACGCTGCTGATCGTGATGTCAATGTTCGGTATACGCTAGAGATTTTATTCCTTAATTCAACATTAAATCGGTTATGTCTATAATTTCTTCTACTTTTTTACAGGCTTTTGCAGCATTCAGGAGTATATCCTGATTACACTCAAGAACCCTCAGCGCTTGCTTTAGGGAGGCCAAATGTAAAGAATGTAACCTTATTGATTAAGGATTGGTTTGAATCAGGTGTGCTCCATGCTAAAGTTTGGATATCAGATTCTCGAGATGTTTATATTGGATCTGCTAACAATGACTGGAAATCTCTCACTCAGGTAACTTCTAATAAGCCACGAATTTGTTGTGATATTTTTAAAATAAGTTATTGGGTTGTATTTATGTTTGATTTCTATAGGTGAAGGAAGTTGGAATCTATCTTGTTAACTGTCCAGATATAGCCAAAAAGGTTGAAATCTTCTATAATAACTTATGGAAACTCGGATCTTTGAATTCTTCTGATTACACACGAAAGATATGGGATCAACAATGGCAGATCAGTAGAACAGTACCTTGTTGGTCACATTTCATACCATCTAAACAAAGATGCAGGTATGTCAATAATTTGTTTATCTTTTTACAAAATTTTCATTACAAGTAAATCAACAACATCTCTGCAGATCTCCTCTTCCTCCTTATGTTGAAGTTCCACACACATCTGGCTATCCACTACTAACAGACCCTTCAACTTTCAAAACATCAATTCAAACCCCTGGATGCAATTATTCAAATTCAAAACCTCAATCAAGCTATCTCTCTTTTGCTCCACCAGAGGTTCAAAATCTTTTGGAATCTCATGATTCCATATTTGTAGTTTCTTTGATGCTTTTATTTATTCGTTCATATGAATGACCTGATTTTTGAACTGCAGCTCTCATTTGGGAAGTACCAGGCAGATGAACAGGCATGGATTGAAACAATTAAGTCAGTAAAAGATGGTGAAACTGTGCGAATCAGTACCATGGATTGGCTTGGTCAATCTGAATACTCAAAACAAACAGTTTACTGGTCATCATTATCCACAGCAATATCAGAGGTTCCATTTCTTTGTATTACAACATTGTATTTTCAGTTATTTTCTTATTAAGGCATCCCCTATTAACTATGTTGACAAACACAGGTCATCTTCTCAAAGCATGCAAAAGTGAAGATACTAGTAGCATACTGGTCGCATTTTATAGCAAACACAGATCAATATTTGAAGTCTCTTCTTTATTCAAATAATTTATGCTCTTCTTCACCAGACAACAAATGTGCTGGGAAAATCGAGATAAAATACTATATGGTCCCTGGTTATAATTCAACTGGGGCTGCTGTTATTAATGGGACAAGTACAGGAAATAAGTATCCTGGGTTTGGTAGGGTTAACCATGGTAAATATGCGGTTAGTGACACGCGTGCACATATAGGGACAAGTAACTTGATGTGGGATTATTTTTATGCGACAGTTGGGGTAAGTTTTGGGACGTATAATCCGGGAATTGTGGGGCAGCTTCAGAAGATATTTGATGCTGACTGGGATTCTCCTTATGCTGTACCTGTTCAACCGTTGCAGGATGGGCATGCTTTTTCAAGCTGAGGGGATTTCGTTTTTGCTTAGAATAAAGTTAGATTATGGCATTGTCAATTGTGTATTTGGTAGGTGAATGTTCTTGTTTGGACTTTTGCTTTTTCTTTTTTATTGTTTGTATCACTCAACAAAAAGAAATTCAGCATCTAACGAAAAAAACTACACGTCATTTACTTGTATTCGATATAGTATATACCAATACACATCAGTTTTGAATTTCTAATATAAAATTATAATTTATTAATGCATAAGAGATAAAGAGTTCAATCACCTCTACAAATGGGATAACAAAATCATAATTAAATAGAAGGGTAATGGAAAGACGGTCATGAGGGCAAATCAAAGAATTATTTGACGTATAGAAGAGATTACTTAATCAATGTGGTAATTATACAAATTATATAAAAAGCCAACATTTTATTCTCTTTAATTTGGTAAAGGTATGAATATCAGTCTAATATAAATGTACATAAAGTCATATTATCGTACATGAACAAAAAATGGTAAATTTTAAAAATATAAAGTAGCATTAGCAGAGCTCAAAAATAATTCCGTTGCCGGGACTTGAACCCGGGTCTCTCGGGTGAGAGCCGAGTATCCTAACCAACTAGACTACAACGGATTTGTGTTTTGCTATTAGCAGTTATAAATATCTATTAAATTATGATGTATGAACCATGTATCTAGTTATCGCCCCTGTGTCTCGAAATAAATTTTACGTTGGCACATGACTGCATGTCTATCCTTCTTTTTTTTTTCTATACATCTTATGATGCTACTACCACTACGAATGTTTTACGTGACAATAAAATTGTGATTATTTTTAGACGTTCTATATTTTTACATTATTACAAATACATGTTATCCTTTTATCCCAACAACAGAGAAATCAACAATTATTTAACAAAATTACATGTGATCTTCATATTTGTCTAGTATATTTTGTTGACAAAAATATCATACGTTTGTTACATAAAATCTTTATTGATTGGACTGATTCGAGTTGTATTAGGATCAAACAGGAATATATATATTTTCTAATAAGAATCAAAATCAGTCGTATTGACACTATTCTGTCCATTTCTTTTCTGATATTCAAAAGAAACTTATCTTTCTATCAACCCTTGTCTTTCTTTTGTATTATTTTTGCTTTCTATTAAATCTAGATTTAGAAAAACTTGATATTCAAAAGAAACTTATCTGTCACATTGTTTAAAAAGTTACACACTTTAATTTAAAGGCAATCCAAGCAGCATCCACGATGATAAGTAGTGCCAATCAATCAAATTCTGCTGTTCCCCACCCTTGACCTACCAATATAATAAATAAAAAAAAAACTACCATCTCTAAGAAACATTACATCTCATCATATTTAAAAAGTGGATCATATCATATAACATCAGAATATAGTTCACAACTCTGCAACCATTACATAAACATGGTCCAGGTTCACTCTTCTCCAATGCATAATTCTTTCAGTCAAAAAAAAAAAAAAAAAAAAAAAACACAGTGTCTTCATCCGATTCATAAAAAAACAACAAGATGAAACACCCACACACAACAAGTTTCTCTAAAGTTTGAAGTTATCATCATGTCCATAAAACCATCAACAACATATGCTTTAAAAGCTTACAGATTAAGAGCTTGAGCATGATGACGAATGTGATCATCAATGAAAGATGCAACGAAATAATAGGAGTGATCATAACCAGGCTGCATACGCAACAAAAGTGGAGCTTTCACATTCCTACATGCCTCATCAAACTTGTTTGGCAACAACTGATTCTCATGCAAAAACTTGTCATCATCTCCCTACACAAACAATAATAAACAAATTTATAAGACCAAGGGGGATGTTAACAAATTAAATATAATTGAAAAAGATCAATTTCAATTTCCAAATTTCTACCTGGTCAATCATGATTGTAGCTGCAACATCATTGAACTTTTTAATCAGGCAAGTTGCATCGTATTCCTGCATATATTTTATGAGTTATTTCAATGACTATGAACACATGTTTCTTGTTGCTAAATGCAAGAATTTATATATATACCTCC